AAAATAGTTTATGAAATTTGTTCTATCTTTTTCTCAAAAAAAAAAAAAATTATTCTATCTTATAATTTGCTTTTCTTTATTATGTTTTGTATTTTCTGGTTTTATTCAAAAAAAATTTATGAAAATTTTCTATATAAGAGTTCGCCCTAATGTAATTCTCCCAGGCACAGAAGCCGAGGAGCCGCCGTCGACAGTTTTTCGGCGAGCTCCATTATCCTCCTAGGTAGTATATCACTCTACTCTCGGATTCGGGCTCGAAGAATCCGAGAAACATTTTTTACTTTGCAACCTCCGGGCTCGAATTGCCTTGGCACTATGCTCCATTCCCCGATGACCACCATGGTTTCTGGCGAGATTTTTGTATGCTCTGCTCTAACATTTCAAAGTCCTCCACTGCAGCAGAAGTTCTTTCACCGTCACATCCGTAGCTATCCGCCGGAGCTTCATCAAGTCCGGAGAACTGGTTCCTCAATCCGCCGGCGACAATCGTTGGTGAGACTTTCCAGGTATACCATGTCCTGGTACTTGGCGCAGTTTTTGTCACCCTCCATTAATACCGAAGTCTTTCTCCGCCGCCTCCCCATGGAGCCCGATCTACAGCAGATTCGCCTTCGCCATCAAGACCTCAACACTCAGCTGGAGCTGTCGGGGATGCCGGAACAGCGAGAGCCTCAGACCCCTCCAGTTCTGCCGGATTCACAGCCGTTGCACGAGATCTCGGGCCCTTATCCTCTCCTTCCCCCATCTCAATCATCTCAACCATGGGCGTATTCTCCGTCGAAAGATCCATCGGTGTGAGCAAAGCTGATTTCGTCGAGATGCTCCTGGTGTAGCACCCCGATGGCTCCGATGACACTGTCCTCCTTCCGGAAGATCGTCGGTGGTGATGGCCTCTGGGATCCGTACAAAGGCGACGCAGGCGACAAAGGCGTTGAAGACCCAAATGAAAAGCGTGCTGGGCCTTGGAAAAAGAGTTGTGTGTTTTGGTGGGCCTGGCCCAGATGGGATTTTAAGGCAGCTCAACAAACATGCCCAACAGCCCAACAACCGTACCCAATTGGTTCAAACAAATATTGGGATAATGGCACAACTGCAAATCGGGTATTTTCTCTACAAATCTGGTACAAAAAGATCACTCATGATTTATCCTTGCAAAGTTGTACCGGTTGGCTTGTCAATTTAGGCATTTTTTTACAGAGCTCGTTAAAATATTTGTCCTCCAAATCGAGCCTGGAGAGACCAATTCGTCTTCATTGTGCTTCATTTCATCACTCATCGGGATTCATATCTCCACTTATGAGACAGTTAAAATTTTCTGGATTCTCAAATCCTGTAATTTACTCCCAGTGGAAGAGTTTAATTTCACCTTCTTCCATCTCTTTGAGATTGGTCGTATCTTCTTCTCTCTCTTTGAGAGTGGTCGAATCTCCGAGTTCTATGCCGGGATCTTCAAAGTCACACTGGAAAGTGATTAACCTGAGACTCTCCGGCTTTGCTGCGAAGTCCTTCTGGACGCATCCGAGGCATACCTTGGATCCGCTGTCCAGCATCTTTCGTGATGATCTATCCGTTCTAAGTTTTATTGTTTTTCAAATATATTGTAATAATGTCAGAGGATGTTTAATTCCCTCATGTTGTAGTTTGATCGGTTAAATGAATGAAGTAACTTTGCTGAGAAAATTTTTTTTTCTTTCTATATGATATTTTAGGGAAGAACTTATTACAAAACACAGGATGCTGATGAAGCTTTATGCACGCGGTTTCTAAGTACGTTTTGAGCAACCATTCGAATGGATGGCATTGAAAGTGTATCATAGATATTCTATTCTTTGTACTAATAATAATAATAAATAGTCTTTACACAAAAAATAGTAAATATTTTTCGGAAAAGAAATATATAAAATTCAAAGTAATGTAAACTAAAAGTTTTTCGGATAATGAAATTATATCTCACTACTATTGCATTCTGCCTCATTGGTTATAATATATTATCATTTTTAATAGAAAACCAGAGGGTCAGTTTGGCTCAAGAGTAGATTCAAAGTTAGACTATTTAGATTAATAGGTCCATCATCAATGTGCTTTAAATGCAGATTTTCAAAAATTTTATATGCTTTTGAACTTGTTGGTTTCTCATTTTTGAGAAGTCAAGTTTTTTGGATTCTCAAATTCTGTAGTTTTTATTGATGACATCTCTTCTACTGTGAGAAGACACAAGTTTTCTGGGTTCTCACCTATAATTTACTTTCGGTGGAAGAGTCTAATTCCACTTTCGGCCATCTCTTTGAGATTGGTCGTATTTTCTTCCCTCTCCTGGAGAGTGGTTGAATCCCTGAGCATTATGTCGAGATCTTCAAAGTCACATTAGAAAGTGACTACCCTGAGACTCTCTGGCTTAACGCATCCGAGACACGATTTGGATTCGTTGTCTATCTTCTACGAAGATATTTTTGCTTTATGTTTTATCGCATTTCAATTGTTTACTCCCTCTTTTTTGTACTCTGATCGTTTAAATGAATGAAAAACTGGTTGACAAAAAAAAAAAACAAAGGGTCAATAAAAGGAAAAAAATACAATGAAGGCAACATACGGCGGCCTTCCAATTACAGAAAGTCCATATATCATGGAACATTATGAAAAATAAAATACTGTATAATTTTATTTACTCATTTATCCTAATTTTGTCAAGTTTCCTAACTTTTAACCTATAAACTTTTTCATGTATTATTATCTAGTCATTTTAACAGTTTAATCTTAAACCTAGAAGAGTTGGTCTAATGTATCAAACAATTTATTCTTCGACAGTTGAATCAAACTGACTCAATAATCTAATGATCTAGAAGATTTGCCGGTTCGTCGTTCAGTCCGATTTATAAAACATTATCTAAAAGAGCTGCTCCTTTTTTGAACATGATGGGTTGGGACTTTAATCGATAACTCTAATTGCGAAAAAAAAAAATATTTCCATGAGAAAAGAAAGAACAAAACAATTAAAAACCAAAAAGAAAATAATTCGTATAGCAAACAAACAAATTATGAATGTTTTAATATGATAATTAACTTTCAAAACCAATGAGACAAGAGGAAGATGATGGTCTGAATCGGACCGCATTTATTTGTGTCTACGTGCGGATCATAGCAACCCACATTTTTTTTTGTCCAGCTTCACATATATTTTACTTGAACTCCTCTTTTCTTACCAAATACTGTTAGATTGTTAAAAGCAAAAACTGTTAGACTCAGTCGAATGATATATATAAACTCGTCTCTTTTAAATTTGTTGCACGGGACAAACATAAATTATTTTAATATAGAACATTAATTTCTTCCTTTTTGCTGTTTTATCTATTTGTTAACAATATAATTATACAGATTTGAATCAAAGTGATAACACATCAACAACACTTTTACTTTTTTTTTTATATATAATCAAAGAGTGATTCGGTTTTATTTATTTATTTATGCCACTAATATGATCTTCATTAACATGAATCGTTCCTAATCTCCTTACCACGGTCCACAGTCAAATATTTACCTTGTGCATACCACGCTTAGTAGTTTTGTATAAATTCTCTACTCTACCGATAAATGCAAATTTTTATAGTAATTTTTGTTTTTTTTTGGGTAAATTTTGACGATTTAAATATGAGCCGTAAAGCTTAGTACTCCTCAGAGCTATCAGTTACATTTAACATTATTACAAAAAGCTAGGATACATGTACTATCTTGTAGGATACTTTTATTTATTTTCGAAGATTTTGTCTCGAATATAACTTAGTCTGATTCCAAAAAACCTTCGTGTCTAAATTTTTCTGATCGGTTAATTAGATTATGATACCAATCATACCATGGCTGCAATTTTTAGTAGTATTGAG